CCGAGGATAATTTGTCATCTTTTAACGTTTGGGTCGTCGGAAACGCGCGAGAATCTCCTGGCCTGTCTGTCCGTCAGTCGTCTGGCGACATAAACTGTGGGGTGAAACAGCGAAATGCCCTCTTCCGATATTGCCCCGCACGCCATGTCACTGGCCGAGGCTCTCTCTCTCTCTCTCTCCCTCCCTCTCTCCCTCTCTCTTCATCTCATTCATCTTCCTAATATATTTCCGACCGCCGCGGGACACTTTTTTCACGGCCCCCTCGCCGAGCCGAAGTGTGTCTACGCGGCTAAAGGCGCCGGGGCGGTTTATTTCTGGCCGGGGCATTATGGCTATACGATTCTGGGTCAGGCCTCTGCAGTGGGCCGTGCACAGGTTGGCCCGCGACCTGTCGCCGTCGTGCGTACGTACGGACACTTTCAAGTCAAGTAAGTCGAGTTAAGTTAAGATGCCTTACAATCAAAGGATAACAAGGTCGGCCATAATTTACCGCCGAAGACGACACTACTTCCACGCGGCAACGAGCTAGTCCTGTCGCAGCCCCATTTACACAAAGACTATGAAACAAAAAAAAAGTCCTCCCCACCTCTTTCCACCCCGCGGCTGATCAACCTAAACACGATTATCAAGGTTTGCCAACCATTCTCCTGTCGTTGGTCGTTTCCCGGCGGCAAAATGAGCCCCACGCGACATTCAAAGTGCGCGCGTCTCTCTCTCTTTTTTAGCAGAGTATTGCGCGAGCGGTCGCGCGGACGTTACGTGAAAACACGACAGCTGATTTACTGACGCCCCCCGAGAGGGGAGGTGTAACCCCCAGGGGGGCCCAGAGAGGCAAGGGCCGAGCAGATGACAGGCATACGGCAGACGCATACCACGCCCCCCTCCCCTCCTCCTCCCATTCCCCTCCCTGGCCGGCCGACGGCCAGCTCCATGTCCGCGACTCTCAAACGGACGCTGTCAGCGGCAAGCGCATGCCGACTCCACTATCACGCTGCCCACTCCAAAAGCAATCGGAATGTTTGGCGGTGTGTATTTGCACCCAATTAATTTTCGATCTTTGTTTTTAAAAAATTGGGGGGATATGTAAATGATCATACAGAAAGTACGTCCGTCTTTCGCCGTCCCGAGTCGGCCGAGTTCAGCTTTGCAAGCTCTCAGAACGCCTGATAGGTAGGCAACATCTTTCCAGCAGTGCATGCGTGTACTGCGGGGTGGCGTACCCCGAGTTTCGCAGGCGCAAAACTCCCGTACATTGCCGAATGAATCTGTGACAAACGGACGTTACTTTCTGGACGGTCCCTAAGTAAGGGATGCTTTTTACATAGTCACCCAGTCCACAACGTACACCTAAACAACAACAAAATTCAGATACAGTGAGGTTTGTTTGTGAACTTGATGCTCCGTTCGATCGTGGCTTTGATTGCCGAGCTAACTTGACTCGGTCCTCGGTCGTTTTAACCCTTGCTGCACACACGCGCAATGCAATGTCCCTAATAAAAACTTTCCCTCTCCTCACGCGGTGCGTCTTGTCTCGAGGCCCGGGGCCGTGCGGGAGGGTCGTGGGAGAGCGAGAGGAGAGACACGGGGCGCGTCGGACACGCGTGTCGCCCGGCCCGTGATCAGTCACGCCTGTCCCGGGGGGCATGAGCAAGCGGGGCAGGCATGAGCGACAGGGAGGGAGGGAGGGGCGGGGGAGGAAGCGCCCGTGTGTCCATGCCAGGTAGGTCGCGCGAGCGGCGGCGGCGGCAGAGGCGACAGCGCTGCTTGGAAGCTGGCGTTGCGTCAGCGGCAGGGCAGGTTGGATCGTCCCTTGCTGCAGGTCCCTTACTGCAGGTGCCTATAGTGCTTCAGATCCATTGCCGCATATCCCTTATTGCTGCGGGTCTCTTGCCGCAGGTCCCTTGCTGCAGGGCTCTCGCCGCAGCTCTCTTGCTGTAGGTCCCTTGCGGTCCCTCGCGAGTTTTCTCACTGTAGATCCCTTACTGCAGGTCCATGCCACAGGTGCATTGCTATAGATCCCTGCTGCAGGACTCTTGCTGTAGTGTAGGTCCCTTAGCCCTCTTCCTTCCTTACAGCACCGTGTGTGTGTCGTGCCAGCAGCGCATTGCCGCCACCGCTGCTGCTGCACTTATTATGTTACATTTGGGGCTGACCGAGGGCAGACCTGCCCCCCGCCCGCCCCCGCCCCGCGCTCAGCCTTGCAGCCGGCGGCGGGCCGGACCGGGACCGCGGACCACAGACAGCGCCATCTGTTGCCGAACCGCGAGGACGCGCCACAGCAGCGCATCCGGCGGAAGGGCCCCGGGTTCAACTCCCTGACCGCGCGGCCATGTTTTCTTTTCTACGTCAACGGGTACACCCCCCGCGGCCCGCCACCCCGCCCCC